TGCATTCCAACCATACCCCCAGTCCCAAAGGTGACGGATTAGAGGGATTCTACTGTACATTTAATATATTGTATGTCTGTCATAAATTGTGAAATGAAATTGAGTTGTCAATTTCAGGAAGGAAATGACTGTTATGCCTTTTTTTAAAGGCAAAGGTTAGCAGTTTGTGATCAGTCGATATACTAAAATTGCAATCTTCGAGCATGAACCAGAAGTGTTTAACTGAGGTGAATGCAGCTAGCAGGGTGGATTTGGAACTAAGCGTAGAGGTGAAGACCAGGAACTCTCTGAAGAGTGATATATTCCTTGTTCTATCATGAATTCAAATTCTTTCTTTGCAGCCACAAATATTTTCAGGTACAGTTGTTGTGATCTGTTGTGTACTGGAGGACCTACTGTTTGGATGAAATGAACAGTTGAATGTTTTGTCGCTGTAAACTTAGGTCTTGTGATATCATGTCCAGGTAATCTTTTAATAGCCTTTGAAATGAGGGTTACTGGTTGGCTGCAAATATCCAGTCTTTCCTTCATACTGAGCTTAGTATGCATATCAATTAATTTTTGTTTCTTTAAGTCAACTAGAAGGCCAAAATGCCTTAAAAAGTTGGCTCCTATAATAGGTGTAGAAACTTCTGCACTGATAAAATGCTACTTAAATGTTCTATGTAATCCAAGGTCTAAATGCAGCAGTTTAGTGCCAAAAGTTTTGATTCTTGACTAGTTGGGTGCATACAGCCCTAATGGTTTGGATCTTGCCATTTTTGTATTCCCCTTTGTGGGATTGCAAGAGATATTGCTGCCAGTGTCAATTAAATATCTATGATTTGTGACTTGGTCGAAAACCACTAGGCAATTGCCAATGCTGAAGATTCTAAAATTGCTACCACTCACTGAGTTCTGAATGGTAGCGCCCATGAATTTCCCTAGCTACTGAAAGAACATGGCTTCCTGTATTTCCTTGCTGAGGCACCAAACTGGTTGTGGTAATAGCAAAATTTGTGATTATGGCTGTTTTGCATACATTGACAGGGATATCTTTGATTTTGAGACAGAGCAGTGATTACTATTTCGTGTACTGGATCTGCTTCACTTGAAAGTCATTCCACCTGAAGGATGAGATGCTCTATTTGCTTTTGCAGATCAGAAACAATGGATGGGGAGATTGCCACAACTGTCAGTGTTTGTGGCATAAATGGTGTTACACTCTTCCATGACCTCATACACTTTGTCTGCTTTGTGGCTAGGTGTGCCAACTTCCCACTTGATACAGATAGGATCATTTGAATATTGGCCAGTAACTATTGTAGCCATAAATTCTATAAATTCATTGTTCAGTTTATCTCTCATCAGTTTCCCCAACTGTAACTCGCTTAGTGATTTTTTTAAGGCGTTTGCTCACTGAATTGGCAAATTCCATTATGTTTAAGTGCTTTGTACTTGTTTTCATCTGGTGGTTGAAAAATGATGTCAATGACACAGGATAGGGTTTCAAAGTCAACTGATAAAACCAGGTTAGTGTACTTAGTATCATCATTTGATATTCATGAGAGCACAAAGGCTGCCTCTACTTGTGTAAACCATAACTGAATATTTTGTTTCCAAAATACAGGACTATATATAAATTCAGGCATTATAGTGTGATTAACCTTGATCATATGATTATTTTCAGTAACAGACATAGTGACATTTACTGTTATTGAGGTCTAACGAATACTGAATAACTCTCTCAGATAAAAAGAACAAACTGCTGACCACCTATGCTGATCTTCCTTTGTCTTCAGTTTTTGAAATTGCCGTCGAGTTGAGGTCTTCCTTTGTTGTTTGAGAGGGGGCATCATATCTCATCTTTGTTCAGTTGTAGAAATGGAGATTCAATCCAAATCCATCATCAAAATAGTGGGTTGCACATGTCCATTGTTCAGGTCACCAGTTGTGGTGTTTCCTCAGGGAAATGATTCCATACAAATTTTTTGTTTAACAATAATGGTATTTATTTCATCAGTCTTCCCATATACATATTCAGTACAACTGGCTACAAATTGACAAAGAAATTTGCACATTTGTACAAATAGAAATTCATGCGTGTATTGACAGGTTCCATTCAGAAGCTCACCAACATCAAGAATACTAAAAAATGAGAATCAGTTCTTTTTTTTTTCTACTTTTTTCTTGCCAATCTCAATGCTTCCTTTGATAATGGTGCCACTTGGCACACAAGTATCTTATTTCACTGCCAACCATAGCCAATAGAAACAAGTCTTAAAAAGTATATTGAGTATAATCAATCTGAAACATGTAATAAGATTAAACTGTTTTTTCCATTGGCTTAATCAGTTTTTATTTTTCCAGCACTATCATTATACTGTACTTATTTAATAACCAGTAATGACAAGGTTTCTTTTTCCAGTTTTAGCATTATTCACTTTCTTACTAGTTCATAATTGTCATCTGCAAGACATACACTAATTTTTGCAGAGATGTGTCTTTATTTCTAATTCACTGTAAAATATTTGCTTCATAATGTTTTTTCAAATATTTTGCATAGTATCTGTCTTTACAGGTAATAAAATCTGACTGATTTATGAGATGACATCAAGAAAGCTCTGTCCATTACTCTGACAATTATTTTAATAATGAAATTTTCATGCATTAATTTCAAACAAGATACTGAATATCTAACCAATGATTAGATATATTTTTTTTAAATTTAATTTTAAAACTTTTTAATTTTAATTGAATAGCCTTAAGGAACATTATAAAAAATAGTATATATAAACTGATTACAAGATGACAGTCTATTTTATACTTTGTCAGAACAACATCTGGCATTCTATTGAATGCTTATGTAAAGTATATAATTGTTTACAGATATCCAGCTAATGTGCTCTTGCATGAAATGTTTCCTATCTAATTTGTTCAAATTCTATGTTCCACTTATCTTGCCTGTAAGACAAGTGTTCAACATTCCTGCATGAGACGTTACAAAATATTGGTTGCTCGGAGCAATTTTTACTTGCTTAAAACAATCATGTTGGTGACCAATAGTGTTTTTCTTAGAAGCTGGTTCCATTCTGATAAGTTTATTTAGTATCTTGAACTCCTTAAACTTAAATTGTTGGATCTCTCAGCTATTTTTGGATATCTCATCCCTAGAACTGATTAACACAAAATATCAGCATACTATTATGGTAATTCTCATGCTAACTAAAAGTTAATTTGAATCAACAAACTATAGACATTAGCTACATCACATAAATCAATTCCATGTAGTATTAAACAATGAAATTAGAACATAAAATATGAAGAAATCATAAAAATCCAAAAATATTAAATATTTTCAGAATGTATCAGTTCTGTCTTCAGATCAAAAGGATGAAAAACAAATTTAAATTTTAGTGACAGTTCACTTCCAATAATATGTTTAACAGCTTAATTATAGTTACAATAAATATTAAAAATTAATAAAACAAACAATACAATGAAAGTTAAAATATGCAAATAATTTAATCAACGTTTCTTCTTATAAAATATATTTTATATATTTTATAAGAAGTTAATTTTAAGTTAAAATTCTGTAGTAATCAGTATCCAATATATAGGTTAGACTGAGTTCATAGAGAAGACCAAGTTTAGAGGCTAACAAAATTCTAACTTATTTTATTCTATATCATCATCATCAAAAATTTGCTATTTTAATTATTTTTTAAATTTTCTAATTCTTTACTATTTATTAACATTCCAATTTTAATTTTTCACTTTACATTATGAAGTTGTTCTTTTTGTTATTTATTTTCTTTTAATCTGTAGAAGAAAAGTGATAAATTTTTGGAACATTCCATATTTTAAATATTTTAGTTCTTTTTATTATTACATTGATGCTTTGTTACTGTAACACAGCAACCAAGTAAGCCAGCATACATAAGATGTGAAATTATACTCCAATCTGATTACACATGAAAAGTTACAAGGGAACAGAGCAGATCTGAACCCAGGAACAAATGTTTTTGGTTTTTTTTTTATTCGTTATAAGTCAGCCTCAGGTTTCAGATAAAAATTTCCCAATTGGAATATTTCGAAACATTCAATCCGGAATTGTGCAAACGATCGAATATTAGAAACATTCAAATTGGAAATTTTTTAGTTTGAAACCAGAGACAGGTTTATAAAACAAACAAAAAACGTTTGTTGTTAAACTCTTTTGCCAGAAAAGTGTGAACAGTTTTGAATTTACAAATCACGTCTTCCAGCTTTATTTTGGATTTTACCAAGACGTCAACCTATCCGAACAACACATCTTTCTCGACATAAATCCTCGCATACATTTACAATTCGATTGTAGGCTACGAGTTAGGTTCTTAGAACCATTCATTCACCATTACAATAAATCCAAACAATACATTAAAATAAATTCCATACTGCAGAATTCCATATTTTTAGCAAATTAACTCGAGAGAACTTTTATATTTTGATATACATTTTCATTATTAATAATTTAAATATTTTCTCAACACAAAATATGAAGTAACATTTTCTTTAATTTGAAAAAAAAAAGTAGAATGAGGTTAAAATCATTCAAAGTATTCCAGAATTACATTATTGCAGCATGGCATGACATTTTTCCCATTAGATATTATTCAGCCATTTTGTGTTACTTTATTACTCCTAAGAATAGAAGTAAATAATAGCGATAAAAGGAACACAAAATGGCTGATTAATATCGAAATTGTGATGTCATGCTTTAATAATACTCTTTCGAATAATCTCTACGCTTTAATTATTCTTTAAATAATTACATTTAATGACTAAAGCGCATCGAATTAGTTAATTACAGTTAATATATTGCAACATTTTACGTTTTAAGAACGAAATGTTTTTTTTATTTTAACCATACTTATTAGCTTAACCACACGAAATAAATAAACGGGAAAACATTAAACCATCTTATAACCGCGTAAATCATCGGAAATAATTAAGATTATTTATTTATTTTTCAAAATTACCTATAATCTCCGTATCTGTTTGCCATTTCGAAAATTATCAAATTTTTTTCAATTACGCACTTTATTGCGCAGAATCACACCATAAACGTTCTCTTCGATACCTACGTAATACTAAATAACGTCTTCTAGCGGCCATTTGTCAAACTGCTTTTTTTTTTTTTTATTAATGGAAATTTTCATATAGTATTTATTTTCAAAAAGCCGATAATTTAATAAATTATGAGATATTCTCTATATTAATTTATAATAGATTATCTGTAATGTGGGAATTAAAATTAGGTCATAGAAAAAAAATATTCTGTATTTTTTACACTTTTTTACATAGCTAATATGTTATCCTGTTTCTTTTATAGGTATGTATTTAAAAATTCTGGACGAGTTCTTACCTTATTCGTTTCCATAGGCGTTAGCTTACTTGAAATAAAACACAGTAGAATCTCGTTATTATGAAATTGAGGGAAGCTTCGAAAATTTTTGTTAAACTGGAAATTTGTTTTAATGAAAAACGTATGTACATTATTATCAAATAAGTTAACTGTAGATTGGACAAAGGTCCTATCTGATGGGCCAGCGGACACTTCCGGTAGACCATCGAACAGATGCTTGTAACTCTTAAATGGGGCATATCAGTGTGTCCCTGGTTGGAAAATTATAACCAATATGTTCGGTGCGTTCTACGTTAATAGAGCATTGTGTTTAATCTTAGCTTCTTTTTAAACAAATAGCACTCAAATGAGCAGAACTAGATTGCATTATCCGCAGCCAGGCCTTGGGGCCCATCGGCAGGACCTTCGTTTACCAAAATTATCATTAAATAGCAAAATATGAAGTCCACATAGTAGACAAAAATATTATATACAGTATGCTACTTATATATTTTTTAAATTTTACTTATTACACGTAAATAAAGTAGTTTAATTCTGAATTTGTCAATTTAATTAACGTCTCAGAATCATATTTTCCCACATACCCTTTGGTAAAGGAAGCAAGTGTAAGAATAATATGATTCGAAATATTATTAATTAATTAAGAAACGGTATGGTTTCCTATACCTGATGTTTTCGTCTCCCGTATGCCATTTTTCCCATTTACGTTAAATAAGGATTTAAGATCAATAACTAAATTAAAAAAATCGTAAATGGCCGTACTTACTCCTGTGTCTATGACAAATTGTTGTGGCTGTTATTGACCTAAAACTTCTTAGTTGCTTTTGAACTCGTCCCTCTCTTTTGCGGTTCGAAAACGATAGCAAAGAAGCGAAAAAGTTGTAACGAAATTGTTATTGTGAAGTGAAAATTATTGGAGTTCTATTATCGCGGGACGGTAAAGGAAACGTTAAACTGAAGGTTCATTATAAATATGTTCGTACAACTAAAATATTTTGTCGTGGGTTCCTATGAAATAAGAAAATCTAAAAGTTCGTTATTGAGGTTCTATATAACGAGATTCCATTGTATAAACACAACGCCCACACGAACATTTATCATGTTACATTTTGTATTAAGTTGTTAATGAATTGTGAAGTTGCTAATGTTGTTAAATACGTTTTTATTTAGGAAAAAATATAATATTTGTCACATTTTTAATTCAGAGTTACATCATAAGTTATTTTTATTTGACTCCATTCTATAAAAATCCACCAATAAAAAATCTATCTGTATTTGAATTTAAATTTAAATTAAGAAAAATTTTAAAAAATTATTAACAGTGTGTACCAATTCAGAATTATAATAAATAACGTTATTTTATTAATTTTCTAATAAAAATAATAGACAAAAATTTTCATTTCTCGTAAAAGTTCTTGGATGGTACAATCAACTGCAAACGTGAGATGAGTAATGTAAAAGTCATGAGTTCAGCTCCTTTAACAGCAGGATGACCGAGGCGTTAACTAAACAAACAAGCCTTTTTCCAGTCTAGACCATGGAATAGTCTTCATCTCATAATAATATTAATGAATTATAAACGAAAATATTATTTATAAATAACAAAGGAGAAAGTAAACAATTAAAATCAAAGCAGGAAGTTTTTAAAATTAATCTAAATGCAGATCATATCAGATGAAGTAATAGTGGAATCTAAATTAACACTCATAACCGGATATGTTACGATCTGCATCCGGTTACGGAGAATAAAATAAATTTTATAATTAATTTGAAAAAAATAAATCTTTTTAAAAATTAATTATAATATTTTATTTTATAAAAGAACAATAAAATATTAAACTTGGGAAACTGAACATAGCGCTGCTTTTTGTGTTTAATCTTTTCTGTTCCATTCTATTTGCTCCTTTTAAAGTGCAACAGAACTCTACTCTTTTTTCGAGTCTAGGAGAATAACTGTACTTAGAGTATTCTTTCTGCTCTGGCCGGAAATAAAGAGTGGAAACTTGTCTAAATATGGCGTCTCCCAAAGACGAATGTTTACAGGAGAATAAAACTCTCGTGCCGCTGTTATTAGATTTTCTCAGTTCATCTGAAGAGTCATGATCGGAGAACAAAAAAGACATTGTTGTTTATTACAATATCATTTACAATAGCGTATAAAAAAACCAAATTTTAAATTAAAGATTTCTAGAATTTGTAATGAATACATGTATGATGTAATCGGCTATGTTAATACACTAACAATAAATGAAAATAAATATAGCCGACTCGCACGGAAACCTCGTGTGGAGTATATTCGCTTTTGTCAACGATAAATCTGACACCTAGCGTTATTAGCGCGAACTACATAATGGCGGCTGCTATGAGTATAAAGTCTATGGTCAACGGCCGGATGGCTGAGCAGTCAAGATGGCAGCCTACCGCTCTGGAAGACCCGGGATCGAATCTGGACGAGTCAAAGAATCCCCAAGAATTTTTCGGGCCCCGTCCCTCACCACCCGGTCGCTCCATTGTGGGCCTGGCCGAACCTATAATGGGCCTGCTTTAAGAGGTCCTCTTAGTGCCCACAGAGCGGAAAGAGAGGAAAAAAAAAGTCTATGGTCTGTTAGAATTAGAAAGTGTTCAACCTACAAGGTAAATATGTATTGCTGTGTATTTGAATGTAAGTCTAAAGATTCATCAAACTCAGTACATATACAAACACTCCAAAAGATAAATTACTGCGAAAAAAGTGGGAAATAAAACAAGTTATCAGTTCAGTTTCACCAACATCTAATTTTGCTGAGCTTAAAATTCTTTTATTTTTACAAACGTTTTCAACCTATCTAATATAGACCATTCTCGAGTTTTCATAAACAAAAGAACACCCAATATCTATAGCTTGCTACGGAACGATAAAGACAGCGTAAAAAAAGGAAGAGAAAGCCGAGATATATAAAATACCATTTGAAAATAAAAAATTAGGAATCGAAAAAGATTATGTGGGTGTGACTAGAAAAAACCTGGCGGTACGTCTGTGAGAACATAGATACAACGTTGACAAAGGACACAACACAATATTAGCTATTATGGTGCAGACCGAAGGAGCAGTTGTAAAATGGGATCATTAACTCTGTATCCATTGCGTTGGAGACGGAAAAGGTGAAAATTTATAAAAGTCCTCGCCGTTGCCTAAATGCTAGGGATGCTAATGCGCTTCCAACAGCGCATTAGCATCCCTAGCATTTAGCGAGCATTCCTAAGGAAATAGATAATAGAAAAAAGAATGGGACTTAAAACCCTTAAATCATGTTTCTTTCTAGTTAGCTTTGTTTACTGTGTTTTATTTGCTTATTTATTTTATTTATTGTACACAAAGAAATACTTCTTTCAATTTATTTTAAAGTTAATTTTTTTTAAATTTTAAATATGTAAAATATTCGAAAACGGTTCTTTCCATTTTGGAACATTTATAATATTAAACCTAACGATGGCCTATATTTGATAGGTCAGTAGATTAACTGGGCTTTCGAGTAATAGTTCAAACTAAGCTAGAGACAATATTTGCCGCAAGTTGGCGTCTCTGTTGGCAGAAGAGCGTTGTTCTTCTACTACCCTTGATTAATTCATTAACACCTGCCCCTAATTTCAAGGGTGGGAGATGTGCCCGAGGTGTGTTCGAACGAGAGTTTAGACTAATTCATTATATTAGGAGGGGAGATACGTTGTTGAACAATAGTTTAGACCAGATATATTCGCGGAAGTGGTCGCTTATTACAGTTGTTGTATGTTGTTTCGGACCAAAAATCGATGCCCGCGGTCGCGTTACACAGATGGTCGTTTAATACAGGTACTCATACGAAGACTCTATGGATAAACTATTCGGTGCCAAAAATTTTTGCCCGTTTTGACAGGTGCTCGTCGAATGCAACTGTCAGTGTTCAGTGTTGTTATCCACTTACAAAAGATATAAAATAACTTTTAATAGTTTCATCTTTTTACAAAATTTTTGTTATATAAAATCACACATTTACACATTTTGAATGCATTTCCATTATTATATGAAGTAGCTAACAAAAAATTTTAAAAATAAGTAAAATGTTTTCGGATTAATATGTTTGAAATTTATAGTTTTTATTATAAAACCTTATAAGTTGTAGATGTGTAGTCTTTAATATGTAGCTTACATTTAGATGCATTAAATTTTAGACGTGGGTATATTTTCCATTTGTTTTGTAGTAGTAGTATATATATATACAGGTTACGCAAAAGCAACATAAATTATACTGTATGTGCGCGATAACTTGAGCTCTCGAAAGAAAGCATGACTTATTGGTAGCATGTCCAGTTTCCTGAACGTTGCACTGTCATTACTAGACTGCTTTCCTCTTTGCCTCAGTCCTCGTATCCCACATGTTCTCGTCCATTCACGTATGTTATCAATCCATAACATCCTGGCTCATCCACGTTGTATTCCGTCAGTTTTACCCATTATGATATTCTGTAATAATTCATACTTGCTTCCTCTGATTACATGTCTAAAGTATGATGTTTTACAAAATTTTATACATGTTAAGAATTCCCTCTGTGAGAATGCATTACTTAGTGAATGAGTTATTCCATTATGCGTTGTTAATAGATTAGACAGAGGTGCACCTGTTTTGGGAAGGTAGGATAGCGCCCATTCAGAGTGAATCAAATAATATACTCTATATTATTTTAATTAGCTACCATTTAAAAACAAATTGTTACATCTATTATCCTTGTATCGTTTTAAACATTCTAGTTATTTTAATAAAAATAATACAAGATACGTTCAATTAAAAACCGGAAAACTTTCATTAAAAGACCGGAAGTTGAGCAATAACCTAGTAATTTTGACACACCACATTTTCAGAGGAAACAGTAACTGCGACTGGCAACATTGTAGATAAGTGAGAACATTACACACTGATAAAATGCGGCGCCTCTAGCAGTGCACGAAGCAAGAGCGGTGTAGTGTTGTCCGTTTTTTGACAAATATCAATTGAGATCCACTGTCATATGCAGGTACAGTAAGAAGACGATTACATGAGTTGCACACAAGCGTACGAATATAGATCTAAGGTTTCAAAAACAGCCATAGCTCTATGGCATTCACTGAGATCCAACCGTACATACTAATTCAATTAAGTGTATTATTTATGAATTGTTTTGGCGATCGAATCTAATTGTTATATATGTAATTTGTTTTGGTTTTAATGAATTTTATTTAAAATTGTTCTTTAGCTTTCTTTTGACACGAACAAAGTTGAATGCAAGAAGATACCGAGGGATTCCCCCAAAAAATTCTCCTGAAGAAAAATGTCTGAAGTCAACACTGTACACGAGCCCCTTAATTCATTTTCCCGAGCTTCACGAAGCTATAATGTGTCACTGCTGGAAAGTCACCATTAAATCATTTACTGCAGTATGAAAAGGTGAGTTTTATTATTGTCTCTATTAAATTATTATCGTAAAAGTTTGAACATGTGAAATTTTGTGTTATTTAATTTACCTTTATTCATTAATTTATTAACTTTAAATGCGCAGTGCTTTATGTTGACCCAAAACACAAAATCAAACAAGTTTGTGAATTATCCGAGATACTCAAGTTCGGATAATCGAGTTTTCACTGTACAGTATTTACGTTCCTTCTGATGTCAACAAAATCTTACTTTTCTTCTTTATAATCTATTATGACTTATGCTATTATATTCACATTGTAAATATCAGAATAAATATCATAATTAAAAAAATTATAAAGTGCTCAAACATTTATCGAATACACAATAAACAACGAAAAACGCCAGTCGGCAATCAGTACCCTCTACAGAGCAAAAACTGAACTTCTCGAGAATACTGCAATGAAGAGTTACTACGATTTCACACCAAAATTCTATTGCCGATCCCCTATGTGGTAGACTGACGCTTTAACTGCTTCACTGCCTGTAAGTTAATAATCGACGTTAACAAAACTGATAATAATAGATATATAGGTCTAAGGCAATAGTTGTCGGTCCATGACGGTTGCCTGTCGCCGGCCATAATATGAATCCTTTATTGGAATGAATAGGCACTGGAGCAGTGATGCAGTGATACAACGGAAAATTTATATCTACTCTCTCTCTTTCATCTCTTTTCTATTTCTTGCAGAGAATATCATTGTTAATCCTACAGCATATTCCCGAAACAGATTAAGCAGGCTACTCATAAGTCAGGTCAAGTATATATTTTTCGTTTTTTAACTTCGTCTTGTTGGCAATAAAATCTTTTAATCATGTCCGTCATGGATTCAGCCAGGCTTATAATGGAGGCTTATACTACGTTCGCACACAATCCACGACTCACTTCGATCTCGATTTACTTACAATCTGGATTGTGACTGTCGCTAGTCGAACGTCGTGCTGTTCGCACAGGCAATCCGCTCGAGAAGAACCTGGCTATTATACGCGATCATAAAACTGACGTAACTACGCGGCAAGTCACAAACACCAACAAATAAAATGGAAGTTTTGGTTAGAAATAAATACTTTTTCTTGCCGTACAGTACATCTAATAATTGACAGATGTCGTCATCTTTCCAGCTGTCTTTTTTATTTCTCTGTCGATAACCCGACACGTGTTCCGCAGCGATCTTGTATTTTCTCGCACGCGTGGGATTGTGGGAGCTCTCTTATGACTGGATCTAGTTTCAACAACTCTCTCCAGTCGATCGCGATAGAACCTTGTTTCAGTCGAGATTGAAACGGTCGAGAGCGTTCGCACCACGGAACTCTCTCCGACCTTAGTCACAATCTAGATCGAAATGCTCGGTGCGAACGGGGTATTAGCGGGGTCAATCTACTCTGAAATTTTTTGGCATGGCCCAGACCCAGGTCTTCTAAAGCTTCAGGCTGTCCAGTGTTGGATAGTGAAAAACAATAAAGTGAAGCAATTTTTGTGAATTCTGTTTCATTGTAATGAAATTAATAATGAGAATAAAAACTTATACTCTTGCGCCTTTACTTCATCGGACGTTTTTGTTTTTACGATAAAAATATTCAAAAAGGCTTATTACTCTAGCCGCCTCATACCACCATACGGCCCTAAGACTGTTGCCTTTATCACATTGGACATCCGGTTGTCTATATTGAAAGCTTAGCATCATAACATGTTTTCAAAAGAATTTTTTCGCATCTAATAAATTATTCATTTTGCTTTATTGTTATAATTCCTTTCCTCTATGCATTGAAGGGGGTCTAGTTATTTTTTTTCTATTTGAAACATAACATTCTCCAGCATCGAGGGAGATCGCACGGGAGGTCGAATGGCTTAATTTCACCAAATATACCGCGAACAAGCATCCTTACTGATGGAAATACGACTTGCTTATATGTCGAGTAGTAATCAATTCTTAAATATCCAGTCAATACTTCCTGTTAAAGTTATAATATGCTAACTTTAAATCCGCTATTTTTAGAAACACTATGATATTGACGTAGAATGAAATATTCATTATATTCGTATTAGAACCATGGATGACTCACATTTCCTGTACCATAAAGCATTAAATGTATTCAATTTTAAGATGTGTTCTCGTGTAGCGAAGCAAATGCTAGTTGTTCTTCTCTATTTCACTTCATTACTTCCGGTTTATATTGTTTCTGGAAGAACTTTTTGTTTATCCGTTTGCAAATGGCTTTATTGACAAGCTATTAGTTTCTTTGGTCGAAATGCTAAACAATTTGACAGGTTATTTCTATTAATGACAAAACCGGAAGATGAGAGGACACAAAAATGCATTAACAGAAAAAGTTTCGGTTAAACGAAAACATCCTCCTTATAATCCTCCTTTATGGCTAAATTCCATAGTAAAATACAAATAATTCTTGATTTTTGTAGTTTGAATAGTGGGATCAAATCGTAAATATTACGAATTTTAAATATAAAGCTTCGTAATATATTTTAGAGAATTATAGTTTATTTTTTTACTTGTTTTAATTGCATAATAAATTGTTTTATTAATACAGTAGAATCTCGAAAACTCGGCCTAATGTGGACCGAAGGGTGGCCGAGTTTGTGAAAATGCCGGTTATCGGGAATGGGGTTAAAAAAAATAAGTATGAGTGTTTCCTCAGAAAATACTGTACTGTACTTGTATGTATTGTTTACTTGAGAATACAACAGAGAATAAACTGCCCAAATACCCTTAAACAAAGGAAAAGTACGTCCTTTATGAAGGCATAGAGCTTTTACTACATGAAAATGAAAATTAATGAATACACTGTGTACAGTAATTTACCTGATAAGACAGACCTCAGAAAAATAAATGTCTATAATGAAAATTAATTAAGGATTTTTTTGCCCTGCCAGGGTGTGGCCGAGTTATCCGGATTGCCGGGTTATCGAGTGCCGAGTTTTCGAGACTCTACTGTAATAGGTTATGTATTTACAATTTAACATTCAAAAATCTCCAAGAACCATATTTTTGGGGCATGTCCCAAAATTACGACAGTCTTTTATAACAACTTAATAACAAATTACATTAAAAAATAAATTAGCCATTTAAAAGCACACAGTATAAGCTATTTTTTTAAATAGTCGACATTCATTGGGCTGCAATTTGAAAAAATTGTAGACCTATAAATTTCCACTGTCGCCCGTCTGTCTTTCCTTAATCTCGAGAATGGAGTTAGATAGATGAAAACCTAGACCAGATATAGAAACCATAGGAGAAGGAGGTCCCGATTAACTATGTGTAAACTTACAATGCAAACTGGAAATCATGTTATTTCAATTCAAATGTTTTCCCTTGAAAGATTTTAGCTAGATGACCCGCATGATTCTGTTGTTAAAGAAAAAGTATGATGTACGGGGACAAGTCACTACTAATTTGAGGTGGAAAGAATATATTTTGAATTAAATAAATTAAAAATATTATTAAAAATTCTAGCCCGACATTGTGACGATGTCAATAAATAATTGCACATTGCTAAACACGTTTCCTAGCGGGCAAAAATTTCTTTCTGAAAAATTCTTCATTCAATCATTTGAAAAAGTCCACGACTAGCATCATCATCGTCTGAGAAATTTAAGCCACTAAGATGTTTCTTAATAGGTCTAAAAAGGTAAAACTCAAAATGTGCTAAGTCCGGACTATGCATTACTTCCCATTCATACTTTTTTAGTCAGTCTGAAGTCTGACCGGCAGTATGAGGAGTTGCACTATCGTGCATCAGACTTATCATCCTGCGCATAGTCAGGACATAGCACCCTCTGATTTTTATCGTTTTTTTGGGCCATCTTAGTATTTACATGTCTCAGACGATGATGAAGTTAAAGATGGAGTCGTGGACTTTTTCGAATAATTTTTTCAGACGGAATTTTGCTCTTGTTTCCCGCTAGAGAACGTGTTTAGAAATGAATGACGACTATGTAAAAATACTTATACTGTGCTTTTAAATGACTAATTTTCTGTATTACTTTTCCGGCTGTTAGGTATAACAGAAGGAAAGTATGGCGATCGGTCAAAAATGACCCCCACAGATTTCTACACTTTTGGACTCGGGACACCTTGCAACGTCGAGAAATGCAAAAAAAATTCAGGGGTAATTTTTGTATGTATGGATATTAGTGTGTGTGGGGGGGCACGATTTTGTTCACCCTGTTTGAAGCTTAATAACTCCTGTGCTTTTTGTCGAAATTTCTGAAATTTTGCAGGGAGGTTTGGTATTAGGGGGATTGATGCTATTAAATTTTAATGGTTAAAGGTCGATGGAGTCGGAAGATAAAAGGAATCGTGTGTCTCGAGTAAGGTTAGAAACACGATTTTACTCTTTATTAGCATTTACAATTTTTTTTTTTTTTTATAAAACTCTTTCCTACCCTAAAAATTCAGCATTTTGCAGTTTTATAATAATTAAAAATATAAAATTTAAAAAAATAAAATATTATAACAGATGGCGCCACCAAATGTTGCCGGGAAAGTTAAAGCAACTGGGTACTGAATTTTTTAAAAATGTAATTTGTTATTAAGTTGTTATAAAATATTATACCTTACTTTTGGGATACGCCTCAGATAATATAGATTAGTGATAAAAATTCATCACAGCAGTTTAATTGATAAGATTTAATAAAATCTTATTACAGTAGTGTCTCGTACTTCGAGTTTAAATCATTCCATGAGGCCGTTTGAAGTCCCAATCAGTTTTTTTAATTAGAAGTAAGGGAAAGCGAATTCTCACACCCTAAACAATATCCATTTCGATAAACTTAAAACAGTAAATACACGTAATTTATGGTAAAAATAAGACAATTAAATGTCCTAATAATAAATTAAAATCCGAAAGCATTAAATAAAATGCGTAAATACTTAACATAGATGTGTGATTTAATTATAACAGTTGTGAGATATAACACTATCGCTTGGCTTGAAACGTATTTTGAATATTTTACTTCACATTTTGTTGAATAAATTCAAGTTGAAATGTTTTCCGATAGAATGCCTATCGGGAGGCATATTACGCCCTATGAGTTTTGGAAAGGATATAATGCCGTTTGTTTGTTTTTTTTTGTTAAGTTATAGCAACGCAACACTTGGGCGATCTGCCTAGGGGAGATGCCTTCCGGGAGGTCTTTTTAAGTGTAACTGGCCCCAATTCAGGCGTTACAGACGTGGAGAAAACCCGGAAAATTCCATGTGGCCAGCCCGTCCTGGCGAGTCGCAAACCTACGATCGAACTCCCAGTGTTCAGGGAATTCCCGAACGCCTTATCAACAGTAAAAAAAAAAGAAAAAAGAAATTTGTTATACGTATGAGGAAGATGCTCCAAAACTACGAACGTGTCAAATATGGTTAAAAAGTTCCTTTCGGGAAATTTTGAATTAAAGGATACAAAACGCAGGGGCGAATCGACGAATAAGACTCAAGATATATAATTAAACACACCAAAAATAAAAGCAAAGAAAGCACCGAAAACATACGAGCATAACGCGAGAGACAACTTGGACGCATAACAGATTGCGTTTACGCTTCGTGCGCATTTTTTTATTGAGCAAACAGTTCGAACTTCGAAGCATCGTTCGAACTCAGAGGCGAATTTTTGACGAAGTTAGAGTCGTTCGAAGTACGAGGTACCGCTGTAATTAGAGAAATGGTATTAAAACATTAATTATTTAAATACTGTTACTTAATTAAATAAAATTCATAAATAGATTGATTTAGAAGAAAAATAATAAATCAAGTATGAATAAAAACGTTTAAAACGATAATTTTTTCTGTTCAGTAACTTTCATTTCATATTTCAAAACCGAATCTTCGTAATTTTATATTAAATTATTAAAAAAATTTAACCACTTCGTTATAAAGAAGAGTTAAGTGATTAATCCACACGTATCGTTCTAATAACAATACAGTCGTATCGCGAAAGACAGAATGACGCCATATATTACGTAAGATAACTAACCAATTAAAACATAGCATCTAATAAAGTGAACCAATGAAGATTCGTTTCATCAACCGCTAGGTGTTGGCATTCATAATTGATAAAAATTACCTTCGTAATTATTTTTCGATCATTTTTATTTCTTAAAATTATTTAAACTATTTATAGGAAATATTAACAATAAATACGATTTTTTATAAAGAATTTTTCTAAATTAGGGAGTTCATCGCTCGCATCAAACGCATACACATATACATCCGTAAAGAAAATAGTGCCCGAAGAAATATGGAATTAATCCTCATATATATTTGACTTGCCGTAAATTTTATGGGAAATATGTAAAATTATGATAAGGACGGGCAGGTTTTTGGTTCTTAATGAGAAATTCGATGCCGTTTACTTGGGGTGTATATAGACGTGACGCAAATATAGTCGGACGGACTAACTGTCATGGTGACTGTTGTAGACTGATTGGATTTTATTGGTTTTGAAGATATTTTTATTTTGGCGTAAATTAGTTTAAAATATGAAAAGGCAACAAGATCGGGATTCGCCGATAAAGACAAAAAGAAGCCACAACGACAGTAGGACCAGCAGTCGATATGATGATAGTCCGAGAGATCGAGGCACACCAGATCGAAGAGACAGGAGGACTGTGAACAAGAGTCCGAGCGAGCGACGAGGAAGGAGTCGTGAAAGGACTTCGATCGAAAGAAGTAATTTAGGTATGAATCGGACGAGTGTCATCAATCGAGATCTTTACGATGATTATCCGCGATCCGCCGTCAAGCAATCTTATACTTATAAAGTGCTGTGTGTTAGTAATTTAAACAATAAAGTGAATGATTCTAGTGTGCGAGATGCATTACAGAGAGAGTTTGGCAGACATGGAGAAGTAACCGTTAAACTCTGCCATGATTCTAATGAAAGAATTGCTTATTTATATTTTAGGAGCGGCGACGATGCGCGTGATGCTAGACATGCAAAATCTAGGTTGGTGTTGTTTGATAAACCGGTGCATGTAGAACCTGTGTTAGATAGGGCTGTGCTTCCCGGCAGTAGGAGAAATAGGAGTGTGAGCCCGGATTACACGCCGTCTCACGGCGTGAGGGGCATATCGCCCGCCCATTCCACCGCTAGCACTAGTAGTGTCGGTCGGAGGCCTGCCGGCGGTCGTCATAACTGTCTGGATAGGAGTGTGCCCCCTCCGTATCCGCCGCCGAGTCATAGAGAACCGCCGAGGAGAGATGTGAGAGAGTTTCATCATATGTCTCACCGGAGAGAAGAGAGTAAAAAGGAAAAGTTTCCTAATTACTTGCATCACGTTCCTCCTGAAGAGGACGATAAGGCCACAAGGACATTATTTGTAGGTAATCTCGAGGTGAGCATTTCTGAAGTAGAATTGCGTAGGATATTCGAAAGGTATGGTGTTGTTGAAGATATCGATGTGAAACGACCGCCTCCGGGTCAGGGGAATGCTTATGCATTTATTAAATTCTTGAATCTTGATATGGCTCATAGAGCTAAAGTAGAAATGTCTGGGCAATATATAGGTAAATTTCAATGTAAAATAGGTTATGGCAAAGCCACTCCAACGACTCGTATTTGGGTGGGTGGTTTGGGGCCGTGGACCTCGCTTTCTCATTTAGAGAGAGAATTTGATCGTTTCGGCGCAATTAGAAAAATAGATTTTGTTAAAGGGGAAAACCATGCTTATATTCAGTATGATAGTATTGATGCTGCTCAGGCAGCTTGTCAAGAAATGAGAGGTTTTCCTTTAGGTGGACAAGATAAGCGTCTACGAGTTGATTTTGCAGATCCAGGTCCTTATAGCTACTACCAGTCGCCTTCTAGAGGAGCCGGTGCAGCGAGTGGTAGTTATAGAGATGAAGATCATTATGTTCCATCGAGAAGAAGTGGCAATCGTGATATGGCATCTTCTGATGATTTTTATGAAGGATTAGACAATCATTGGCAGCGAAATAGTACGTACCATAACAATGCACAATATGATCTACATTATGACCGTTTACCTCGGCAAAGTCGTGACCAATGGCAACCGGAACTTGATGATCGACATGATGGTGATTATCGTGGTGGTTGGAATAGGAACTGGTGGGATGATCATCCGAGAAGTAGAAATGATGGTACAAGTGAACGGCGTAAACGTCCAAGAACTCCCGACGATGATGGCCCTCAAGATTGTAGGACAGGTCGTAGTGATGATGGTATTTCTTACAAGCATGCACGTCGTTCAAACACACCAGATCAAGGAGAACAAGAAAGGGTTTCTGTTCGTGACCCAATTTCTCCAAGAAGAAATCGTGAGAATTCTAATAGGAGGACATCTAAAGAGCGTCATTCTCCCATAAATTATGATATTTTACAAAAAAACGATTCTAGAGAATCTGTGGGAAAAGATCGTGATAATGATGATGTTAGAGATAGTAGTAATTCATTTGGAAGGACCAGAGGAGGAAAATCAGAATCCCTAAATGAAGATAAGAAGAAATCTTCAGATACTTTAAAAGCAGGAAGTGTTACTGTTGCTGACAGTGTAACAAATTTACAAGATTTGGCAAAATGTTGTCCGGTAGCATGGCATGGTGGTTTAGTTTTAAAAAACAGTGCTTTTACATCACGGATGCATGTATGTAGTGGTGATCCATCACTTGTAGAATTTCTGATGAAAGATTCTACTAATGAAGTTCCAATGCTGCGTATCACACAAAGACTTCGACTTGATCCTCCTAAACTAGATGATGTCTCTCGGAGAGTATCAAATTCTGGTACTCATGGTCACTGCATGTTGTTAACTTTGCCAGGTTCATTGCAAACCTTGGAGGATCAATCAAATTCAGTCCAGCAACGTCCACTTAGAAATCTTGTGTCTTATTTGAAGCAAAAAGAAGCTGCTGGAGTTGTATCTTTGCCAGGTGGTGGTGGTGGTGGTGTGAAAAAGGATGGAAAAGAGTTGACAGGTGTTCTGTATGCTTTTCCTCCTTGTTCATTTGCTTTGGAATTATTAAGACGAATTGCACCAAATTTAACTGGAGATTCCTCAAAGGAGGATCATTTGGTTGTAGTTGTAGTAAAAGGATCAACATAAATGTTATGTGGAAAAGCTATAAATAAAAACATGAAAATTTAGGCATTTTATTGTTGAAACAATAGTAGTTATTGTGTATAAGTAGTTTGTGTTGATTAACTACATGTGAAGTTTTAAGTGTGTGCCTGTTCCAATAAAACAAATTGAAAGCACTGATTTAACAATATGGATATGCATTCACATTTTATTTCAAATTTATCATCTATTGCTGTATCATGAAATACCATCAGTGCCATGGATGTGATGGGTTATATTTGAAACTAGAAGAAAAACTTTGCTATTAAGTGCAAAATATTAAAAAGTTACAATTGGCAATTAAATTTATGAGATTTGTACAGCTAGTCTTTATCACAAGTGCTCTGTTTGAATATCAGAAAACCAATTTTATTTACAAATGCCAAGAAGTGCAACGTTTTCATCAAATACTATCATTTAAATTTATAATGTGTAGTTCAGTTGATAATTTAAATATTAACACTCATATCTTATTTACCGTATCTTTGTTTTCTGGTATATGCTGTTTCTAAAATACATGTCAACATTCCAGTGAAGAGAAAAATTCATTTTTATCATTTAATTAAGATAATTAGTATTTAGTATACCCTAAATGACTAATTATTTTACAAAATTATATTTTGTAAAATTCTAGAAAAATTTCTGTATTTTTGTTAATTATTTTGATTACTATTGTACTTCACATTAATTTGAATATTTTAAAATATTTTATTTTATTGTAATTATTGGACTTAACATAGGACATCATATTATAATTGTAACAGATTTAGTTAGAAATTTACCTGTAATTTTAAGAAATCTTTATAAAGCTTCAAAGTGAAAAATTATCAATGCTATTCAATGCTACATTGAAGAAAATTTGGTGGAATTCATCCTGGAGAGAGTGAGAGAGAAAAAGGGAGAGAGAGTGCTGTGATCTCTGGTGTCGGTGGTAGTGTTTCCCTATTTGTCTCAACAGTGCTACAGATGTCCAAAAAAAGTTTTACTTGTGTTCTGCATGAATCATTTTTATGAGAAACTTTTTTATCAAAAAGGCTTGTTAAAGTGCAGTGTTGTGTTTATTTCTGTTGCGAGTGCCTTTACAACAAAAGGAAGACTGTATCGTCGCTTATTTCTACTTTTGTCAAAATTTAAAGTGTTCTAGTGTTATGCCAGGACTTCTGCTCAATTTAGTTCAGTTTATTGATCAATTTAATGTTTTTTTTTGTGTGCTGTGAATCTTGCTATTCATCAGTGAGATTTAGTGCTACTAAACATCATTGTGTTTGTGCTTTGTGTTGTGAACTTGCGCATAAAATTGTGTGAAATTTAAAATCATTTAATAAGTTGGCCTTAAGTAAGGCAAGGTTGTTGGTTCCTGACATTCTAAATTGAAAAGAAGTCTATTATTGTTTTTTCAACAATTATCAGTTTTATTTTATTATGAAATTTAAATGATTATTATTATTATTATTATCATTTTTTTTTTGAGAAGATGATGATGAAGTGGAATATAAAAGTTACAACTACAGAAGATTTGTGTTCAGAATATGTAAGTTCAGTTATATTTTGTAGAATAATAATTCACTTGTAATATTCAACAATATATATGGCAGATATGTGTAATATTTTACAGCACTTGTGAAAAAGGCTGCCTTTGATAACTAGAATTACAATTAGTTGTAAAGGAATTTGCTGTCAAATATCTGTTTGAAACTTGTCAATTAAAAACAATTATATAAGATATATATATATGCACACATAAAGGTGATTTTTCAAATGTACAAGTTTTATATTGCTGTTTCTTGTTTGGATAACAGCTATGAAACATTATAAATGATTTCTAAGAAAGGAAAATATGAATAATGTTGTACAATTGCATATTAATTTCATGAGGACATCTGAGGGGAAAGAAATGCATCATAGATGTAATACCATAATGACAATAATGCAAAAACTTGTAACTATTCCAAACCTGTTAAATTTCATTATGATAAATTGTGAACAGGTATATAATTTACAGTTGTAAGATAGATAACCCATCAATTTGTGTAAGGCACAAAATGAACATTAAAATGTAAGGATTCTGTATAACAGTTTCAGACTCAGTTTACTCTGTGAATTTGAAGTGATGCAAGTTGAATTTTTTCCTCTTTTTTTTTCTTTAACAAGTATGTGAAACAGTTATGTTTATCTATTTTACATTATTTAAAGTTTGGATAATTTTTCAAAACAAAGTGATTCTCATTGTGAATTTTCATTATCAAGATCATTCCAAGAAAACATTTTATTTATATGTGCATCTGGAGAAAACATAATTAAACATCATTGATAAAATTTCATAGATTTCAAGATTTCAGTTTTATAATTACATTAAAATTTCTTTTATCTGTGCTTTTGGAACATCAGTGATTTTCAAACATTATGCAGTGAAAACTTGTTACAAGCTCATCATAAAATCTTGTGATCCATTTGTGTACAAATATTATATAGTTCACAATTCTGCAAAGAGAAGATTGTGATTATTTAATTTATAATGATTCAGTGTTGAAAAACAAAAAGAAATTTAAATACTTGGCCAAATGTGCTTTACAGGAATTTTCTGCCTGTAGTAAAGTTTTATTTTAAAACATTTGTTTCAAAAATAATAATAATTTTATTTTATTTTTATTGCTTTCTATGGAAAAAAATTGAAGTCAATCTGTTTGTGTTCAAATATTTATATTTTTAAAATATTTATATTTTATATTAGTTAACAAAATTTACAAATATTATATTCTGAGAATACAAATATAAATGTGATTTGTTTTATTCATAAAATTTACATACATTAAAATGAATTGTCACGTAGCATAATTTGAAAATCATTTCATACTAATATATTGAAAATACAAAGCACAATACTTTAGATCTATTCTGTTTTCAAAACTTACCTTATATTAGACAATTATATATGATAAATTTGTGGATAATTATCTTAACACACACTATTTGAAAATTAACAATAACCTAAACCTGAAAATGGATTTAGATGATGCTCTAAATTATTATTATTTAGATGTTAAAGTTTTATTTATTCCTAGATTTGTTACTTATAATTCTATAACTATAATCTGAATAATCTTGTATTTTAAGTGAATCTTGAGTGAATTTGAAATATATTATAGCATTTTAGAAGATCAGCATAAAAGCAAATAAAATTAATAGAATATTAAACAAATATAACATAAATTTATTACATGAAGCATATTTGTTTCATATAATAATTTTTATGTAAGTTTTATAATAGGAAAGTACTGTACATGGAAAGTATACATGTGCATATTTTCATAGATAAGTTAAAGTACTAACAAGTAAGAAAAAAAAATAGGTGGACAGTTTATTTGATGATAAGTAAATAAATAGAAATAAAATGATTTATTAAAGGAACCAATGCTATTGTAAATTCTAACTGTATCTATTAATACTTTGTTATATATATTTCCATAATAATAGTTTTTTAAAAGTGCTTTTTTAAGGATTTATTTTGGGGTTAATTAAAACCAACTAGAATATAATGCTATATTACAAAAAAATTGAAGTTAAATTTACAAAAGTAAGATTTATTTTAAGTTTATTTTCAAATAATGAATTTTTCTTTTCTTCTTTAAAGATATTTTCAATGTTTAAACTTCTATAATAATGAAGCATTTACAATATTCTAAAGTCAGATTAAATAAATAATAAGTTAAGTTGATTAATCTTAAAAGTTAATCATTATTTTAAACATGGTTTGATAAATGAAGTAATTTTAGTTGCGGTTATTAATTATAGATTTTAAACTAGATATAGGTCTATTCATTTTATATAATTGTTTTCATTTAAGGTTTTATAATAATGGGATTTTAAACTATATAAATTTGTAAAAAGTTTAATAATATATAAAAAATGAGATAATGATAGAATTAGCATCTTTTATATGAAATCTAGAAAAATCATAATTTGTTTGTTTTGACTAGCAATTACTTATTCTTAAGTTAGCTTAAAATAAACTTCTCTGTATACTAAGATACAATAGATATTTATTGTTTTCAGTAATTTTTTTATTGTACAATATTTTAAATATAATTTATTGATAAATTATGAATGATAAAATCATTTTAATTACATTAAAATTGAATTTATAAATGTATCACAATCAAATCAAGATCTTTGAATTTAAATTTCATTTTTTAATTTTTTAAACATTTCATGTCCTGTTATGATTAATTTTTTTCTTGTTTATTAAAATTAGTTTTTATTAATTATTAAAATAATAATAATAACATTAAAATGATTATTTATTATTTTAATCTAGTTGACTTTTCTATAAAATTACAGTGACATACATCACTTACAATTACAAATTTGTTTATTCAGTTTTAGAATTTTATTTGTTCTAAAATCATTTCCTTAAAATGACATTTTTGTGTATGTCAAAGATGCTTGAGTCTATTAAAAATTGTTTACTTTTGGCTTTTAACACCAATAAACTGAAATTAGTGTTCTTACAAGTTAGATTTTTCTGTTTTCTAGCTTTTTTATTTGATTGTTGGCTTATTATAAATTCAACTTTAAAACGATATATTTAAATAATTAGCATACCATAATTTCTTAATGCATTATTTTAATATTCTTTATATTTTTATATAATTAAAGTTTAATTTGTAATAAATTTATGAATGTTTTTGATGAGATCTCTATTATCTGTTATCACTTGTATAAAAATATGCAAAAAATTATTTGTTGGTTGAAGTTAGCAAATTAAAAATTATCTACATTTAAATGAATCTAATGAAAACTTATTCTTAGAATTTGTGCAATAAATCAATTAAATTAAAGTTTATTGTTTAAAATTCTTGATTTTGAAATTTATTCTTTTTAATTAGTATATTTCTTTTATTAATTATAAATTAATAACTTATGCATTATCTAAGTGTAAACTTGAAACTAATGTTATCTAGAAATCTTTCTTTTTATTAGCACATAAATTCTAAGTTTAATTTTTTATGGTGGATAATGTAACATTATCTCAAAAAATTTCAGATTCAGTTAAATGTTACAATGATCAAATGTGATATCTAAATGTTGATAAAATGATAACTTTGTTTAATATACTGTACTTAAAATAATTTCTTTGTGATTTAAAATGTGAATTTTTATTTACCAAACTTATTTAAACAATATAGTCATTAAGGGAATGCTATTTTAGGTTTTTAGTTTTTCTATCAAAATTATTTCTAAATGTTTTGTTTTTACTCAGTCTTATGTTTAATACAGAACAGATTCAATGAAAATATAGAAATAAATTAATAAAAAATTAATATAATAAAGGTGTAACAAAATGTCAAAAATTGAGAATTAAAAACAGGAAAATTGCCACAATTTTAAATTAAAATTAAAAAAAAATTGTTAATTAATATTTCAATAATTACTTATAATTTTATTAAGAACAAGAAATGAAGAGATAAACTGGTTTTATTTTCATTTTTTTAAGAAGCCAAATTTTATTTTGTGGTAGAAATATATTTTCAATGAAATTACCTTTTTCCATTGTACCACATCCAAAAACTAGAAAGAAAGATGTTGTGAATAAAAAATAATGGTAATATTAGCATATTGTTCAAAATATTTTTGTTTTAATAGTATCATGAACTCATATAGAATAGTATTTTTCACTTTCCTATTTATATGCTGAGAATGTTTGTCTCTATAGTCTGATTATTCTAAGAAAGAAAAACTTAATGTAAACAAATTGCTTCACTTAACATTATATTTACTTTTTTATAGAGATTATTGATTTTCTTTAGAAATTCTAATAGGACAAAAGTATAAAAATTATTTTTTATAAGATAATTTTCATAATGAAACTGTAAACAATAAAATACAAATTCAAAAACTACATAAAAATAATATATATATTTATATTTGTGCTTTATTGCTTGGTGTATGAATAGATAATTAACATTGATAAATGAGAATTTTGGGATTTGGTTTGTCTGCATCTTGTTTATATCACATTTTTTTATTGATGTTGAATATGATATTTGTAATGTATTCTAGAGTTTCTTGTATGATACTGTAATGAGAAAAACTTTATTAGGTTATGTTATAATTATAGTAGAGAAAAGAAACAGTTATAATTATATATATATATATATATATTCTTCTTCTATAATCTTCTCTTCAGAGTATATCAATGTGCTCAATATTTTATTTACTCTTATTTACACAATTGAGAATAAATATAGTTTTCTCAAATAGTTTTTATAAAGAAAAATTTGATTTTTTGTTTAAGAATGTTTTTAATCTATCCCTTTCTTATTTCTTAGTTTATAAATTATCTTCAGAGTTAAAACTTTTTATATATATGTTAATAACTAACATTTGTTCATGGACATGATGTAATAGATTCTTAGCTGTTTCTGTTTTACATTTATTCTAAGTTATTCAATTGTTAATGTTATAAATATATGAAAATAGTGGTGTGTATTGCTGAATTTATTCAGTGAATAAATTTACTAGTAGAAAATTAATTAATCAAAAAATAGTGAATAATTGTAACAGAAATTATTAATATATACTTACTAAATATATATTAATTGAACTGTTATGATTGACTTTTTAAGAAAATGACATAGTACTAAGAAATTAAATATATACAGTTTGATTTCAGTAGGTTAATTTGATAATGTGAAAATTTTACAGACATTATATTCAGCTAGAGAACCATTTTATAATTTTAAACTTACACAATAAATTAAAATAAGATATATTACTATAATGTCAATACAATATGTAATAGATCACCCAGTACTGAATGTAATTATTAGGAAAAAATTTATTAGGTTTTGATTTTAAATGAATTTATATATAGAAGTTGCTTTATAATAACAAAATGCATGTATGATACATTGTAATGAGAATATTATCAATTAAATAACAAGACTGATTATTTTGACATTGTCAAAAAAATAAATGATAATTGTTTATTTATTCAGTATAAATTTTTTTTTTATTGGTACAGTATGCAAAAAAATAAAAATGTAATATGAGATGTTCTTGAAAAGTTATAAGAAAAAAAAACAGACAGTAAATTAGTACATAGTTTTTAACAGTTAATAAACATTTATAATAATTTTTTAATGATATAATTTTGTAAATAAATGCTACTATGTAAGTTATTTTTCTTAATTTGAATTTAAAATCCATTTCATGAGTGCTTTTAAACAAAATTGCTGATAAAAATGTATATGAAGGTTTCATTTGTTTATTTTATATACTAATTGAGAGATCAAATTTGATTAGCTGTTTAAATGCTAGACTAACTTTTTATATTTTCTCACTAAGATCATTAAATTAAGCTTATACTTTGTCCCTCAAATAGTAATTTTTATAGTTTATTATAATTGTTATTTTATTATTATTGTTAAATAGTTTTGAATTTTAATCATGTGTACTCTGCCTTATTTTCTTTAATTATACTTTTGTTTTATTTATTTAAATATTACAGTTACTGAAATGATTGAAATTTTTTGATTAATTAATTATTCTATCAATAATTATTTGATTAGTTGATTTTTGATGAGACGTTTCAATTAATAAAAATTTGAGTTTTTCATTTCTTTTGTTATGTACAGAGGTGGTCATTTTTGAAATGAAATTAACAAC